AGAATGGCCTTATATTGAGAGACCCAGGTACCCCCAGCTGTGTGTAGGAGCTGTATGCAGGTGACTTCAAGGATGGGCCAATGGAATGTGGTAGAGCACCCTCACACCCACCATGACTACCTTTTCTTCTATGGTTATATACTTCCCAAAACACCATGGTGCTGCTTCTCCAGCCCCAGCCCTAGCAAGCCCAACAAGGGGCCTGCATCTATCAGACTTAGGTCACATGCCTACCGTAGACCAATCACAGGTCCAGAGAAGCAGAAGGCTACTTCATGGGAAGGGGGGGTAGCTTTGTCTGTTAGGATAGAAAAGGTTCCCTTAGTCCTTTCCTCCATCCTTTCCAGTAACAAAAACCTACATTTGCCCCTTAAGTACCAAGTTACAAGAAAGAAAAAGACTGGCCTTGCTTTGCCCAGCAACCAGGGCACTGGCAGACACACACCTGTCTGGTTCTCCAGTTTATACCAACTTGTTCCCCCTGCAGAAAGAAAACAGTCATTATCAAAAAGCCAATTGTCATTATGCCTCTTTAGAAAAATTTCCATTAAAGATAAAGCAAATTTTAATTAGATTAAGTATCCAATTACTGTAATTACATTTTTTAAAAAACCACATCATGAAGATGACCCTTTTTAAAAGGGTTACAGGAATAATTAGTGTATTCATATTAACCAAAATGTATTGGATAATATTTATACCCAGAAGACAAAGTACATTACACACATTTCACCTTTGGGGAAAGCTTGCAAATGTTTTGGCAGTGGCATGAATATTTATAGGCAAGAGTGTGCTTTAGTAAGATTATGTGAGAAAGCATTTAAATGTTCACCAATTTTTACCCAGGGGTAAAGTATACAGAAAATGTAGTGTGGAGATTATGGATATGCAAAGTGTGACCTAAGCGGTGAATTTCTATCAGTTTATTTAATTAATTGGCACCAGAGACTATTTCTTCTTATTCAAGGTAGAAAGGCCCAAGGTATCCAACTGTGACTTTTCTCTGCTCTATACTCTCCAGGGGCAGAAACCAGCTAGGATAGTTGGCAGGAAAGGAGTAAGGTCATTCTCACCTTGTCCACTAAACACTAGGAAGCCCGTCTCCCCACTCCTAACCTTGGCTTACCCTGCCCCATTTGGGAAGAGCTTTAAGGTGAGGAATCTGGGCCTTCTTGAAGCTTCCTCCCAAAGGCTATTCTCTGAAACTGTGTTCTATTTTCTGATTCCTGTTTTCTTCCTTCAGACCTGGAGCTGAAATGATCACTGCTGTTTCTGTCTCACACGCAGCTGCCTCCCCAGCTCCATAGCATGTGCAAACTCAGCGGGAGGGAGGTGGCACAGTTTCCATTTCACAGATGAGAATGCTGGGACTCCAGAGCTTGGACCAAATCCCAGAACCACACCACAAAACTGGCCTCCTAGGAAGTTCCACTGGCATGGATCCCAGACCTGCCTGGCCTCTTCTTTGCCTGTCAGGAAGCTGCAGTGTGGCCACCACCAAGCCAAGGGACAGCCTACCTCTGCTGCTATTAACACTGATCAGAATAGGTAGACTGGCTTGCTGTTTCCTCTCATAGATAACTTCTGAACCAAAGTCAGGCATGGTTGTGTCTGAGCAGGGAATAGTTATATATCTGCATTCTAGTGGCAGGACTCTGAGGAATGTTTTTGTGTGTGTGGTATTGGGGGTTGCACTTGCTAGGCAGCTGCTCTACCACTTGAGTCATACCTTCAGCCCTGAAATGAGACTCTGGGTAACTCTTCGAGGAAACTCATATAGTTGATTCCTACAGAGATATCCAGCTTCTCAAAGCAGGAACAGAATCAGTGTGCATTTGTGAAGACAGCAGCCTTATGCTTCAACAGATGCCTAAGTGAACCAGTTCTGTGCTCAGCTCAGCCCCTATGCTTCTGGGGCTTCCATTTTGGTGAAAAGGCCCAATGAAGCCAAGAGAAAGAGTGCCCACAGGAATCCAGCAGAAGGAAGTGTCAGCATGAGTTGGGAGTCCAGGAGAGCTTCCTGGAAGAGGTTCATAAGATTGGCTGTGAAAGTGGAGGAGAGAAAGAAATTGGGAAAATGAGCATCTGGGGAGAGGAATAAATGGAGCTCACTCTGGTCCCAAGAGAAAAAGATGATTTGGGCAAAGAGGATGAATTATGTAGGCGCCTGAAAGGGAGGCCAATGAGCTGGTATTAAATATGGCATCCAAGGGAGTCACAGAAGACTGTGGAGCAGAGGAGGGGCCAGAGCTCTGACTCCAGTCTTCTCTAGCAGATGCAGCATACTAGTAGGACCTGGGACCCTGTGACAGGGAGATTATTTGAAGGTTACTGTTTTGTATCTGTTTTCTTGGACTCTTCCTTCTTTCCTCTTTTTTCTTCTCCTCCTTTTCTTTTCTTCTTTTTATTCCTCAGTTTGAAATTCCTCCTTTTGCCAACATATTGTGTGAGTTGTCCTTTGTCCTCTCACATCTTCTATCTTCACTACCTCATGCACCTGTCTTGAGGAGATCTTGTATTTAGGAAACAAAGAAACATGTCAATTTAATTCAAGAAATGTATTCCATAATTATAAGTAAACACCCTAGAGTTATATTTCCCTAAGCCTCTCCTCATAAGAATTCAACACATGCCCGATGTTAAAGGTTAAAGAAGTTTTAGGTTACAAAGATAAACATTCTGACCATTTCCCTACAGGCATTCAGATAGAAAGGGACACAGGGAAGCAACCGATGAACAGATTTCTTTCTTTTTTTCTTTTGAGACAAGGTCTTATGGTATAGTTCAAGCTGGTCTCAAACTTGCAGTTCTCTTATCTCAGCTTCCCAAGTGCTGGTATTACAGGTGTATACTATCATGCCTGCAGCAATGGATTTCTTAAACTCAGCAAATGAAGGGGCCAGCTGTTACTATCAAAGTCTGTTTCCTCATTATTTTCCAAAGAACTGGCAGACATATGAGAACAATGTGAGATGATGGAGAGTGTTCTGGTCTGAGAGTTGGAAGAACTAGATTTCAATCCTGGTTTAGCCACCAAGGATCAGGGTGATCCATAGCAAATCCCTTCCCCTTTGTAGTCCTCAGCTTTCTCCTTGGTCTAATAACATCAAAACTGAGGTAACTCAGCCTCAAGGACCTGTCAAACTCACCTCTCTTCTACCTATCTTCAGTCTTCTAGAATGTGTCTCTTGGAGGCTGCCAGTCTCAAGGGATGATTTGCGGGTGCCAGGTCCTGCTCAGAATATGCTGGTTAGAAGATTTCTATTGGCCTCCAACTACAGAACAAATATTCCCTGGTTGTTTTCAAGCTCCAAAGAAAGTCCCTTTGCTAAGCTAAGTTCTGAATAACTCTGCTCATTTCCAAACTTTCACCACACTCAAAAAGTACTTTCCCACCCTGTTCTTTCTCAAATAATGGCCTGATTATACCTTTATCAAGAAGACAGAAGCAATGAGAATGAACTTCCTTGATCTGCTGCCTCTATGCTACGCTCTTAATGTGTGCTTGAACTCACTCCTGTCTCCTTTCTTTTAAGCTGATCCCTACTTCTGGGTTCTCAATGTCTGCTCCAGATCTGGACTTTGCTCCAAACCTGGTCTCTCTTGCTCCTATATTTTTCCATCTCCTTTTCTGATGTTTTTCCTCTAAATGCATAAACATGTTCATCTCTTCCCCTGGAACAGAACAACTCTCTCTCAACCTTCAGATACCCTTGAGTTATCACTGTAGCTTTAATCATTTCTTTTCATGGAAGCTCCATACAGAGTGGATCATACTTGCCATCTTTACTTCTTTGTCATTTGCTCATTCTTTAGCCTCTACTTATCAGAAGTCTGATCTTAGTTGTCCAATATTTTATTTGAGAAACTAAGCCCTCACTTTTCAAGTGGTCTTAAATCACAGTGCACTCCCAACTCCAAGATATCACCAGCCACCAAAGAGAGCAGCCACTCAGGCTCCACCGAAGCAGCCCCATTGGAAGCTATGATTTGAACAAAGCTGCTTACTCTAGAAGTACCAGTTTTATGCTCTGGACTCATGGAAACAGGTGCAGCGTAGGGAGGAGATTGCAGATGGGATGAGGCCATTAAGAGTACAGAGGAATGTGGAATGGCTCCCCCAAAGTTTGGCTTGTGTGAATGAGTAGACATTGATTCTGTGTAACAGATTCTGAGAACAGAAGAATCAGGTTTGACATAGTGAAAAACTAGAAAGAATTTGTTAAATGAATGAATAAAGACATTAAAAGAAGCAAGGTTTTGTAGTGGAGGAAGTGGCTGACTGAAAGTTTCATAAGGGTAGCTGTCTTACGCTGTTTCTTCAGAGAAGTTTTTGTCAGACGGAAATGATAGAACGAATTTTCCAGGCAGAGGACAAAAGATGAAGAAAGGTCCTCTGGAAACCAGAAATATGTTAAGGCAAATAGCAAATCCTGCAGTTTGGATGGAGCGTTGACAAGACCAGATTATGCAGGACCTTGAGGCGACAGAAAGGAGTTTGATGTTGTTCTGGAGATAATGGGGCGTCATTAAAAAGGTTTTAAGCTGTGAAGAGAGATAATTAGTCTTGGGTTTTAGTAGTATCACTTTTGGCTGCAGATGGAGAATGGATGGGATGGGCTTGAGTGGAAGCTGGAAAACAGCGAGTTCAGTGCGGAAAGGAGGAAATCGATGGTATGGTTTCGGGAGTGGGTGGGAAGCGCATGGAGAGAAGGGCAAAAGTGCCAGAAATTTAGGCGGAAGAACGCACAGTGATTGGGCACTAAGCAGAGGGAGGAGTCTGAAAGTATAAATGGGATCGCCAGGGCACCTACGCCGGGACAGCAGGTCAGCTCCCGCCCGTGGAGGTGGAGGCCTGCGCGCCTCGCTCACCTTGTCCCTCGCGCGACGCCGTCCGCGCAGCCCCTGGGTCGGTGGCGTGCGGCAGCTCGCGCCGCGGTTGCGGTTGTTCCGGTTCCGGTTCCGGTTCCGGTTCCAGGTCCACTTGCGGGTGGAGTCTGCACCTGCAGCCGCAGTGAGCAGCCATGGCGTACTCCACAGTGCAGAGGGTGGCCCTGGCTTCGGGACTCGTCCTGGCTGTGTCTCTGCTGCTGCCCAAGGCGTTCCTGTCCCGCGGAAAGCGGCAGGAGCCGCCGCCGGACCCCGAAAGTAAGCGCGCTGGCTGCCGGGAGCCACCGGGGGTCCCCTGGCGGGGCGGCGGGGTGGCGTTTGGGCGGTTCCCGGGCCCTCAGCCGCCGCTGCACCTACGCCGGGTCCCCCGCGGGAATGGCCAGGGTGGCTAGCGCGCCCGGCCACCTCCGCTGTGCCATGCGCGCATCGTTTGCTCGCTCGCTCAGTTTATCTTGTCACCATCTCTCTGTTCTCCTGCTTTGGTTAGTACGGGTTTCCCTTTTTGGGTCCTGTGTGCTTCCTCCCCGCCCTCATCCCGTCCTGGGCTTTGTATTCTGGGCCTACACCTTGAGCCACTCCACTAGCCATTTTTTTGTGTGGTGGATTTTTTCGAGATAGGGTCTCGCGGACTATTTGCGTGGTCTGGCTTTGAACCGCGATCCTCCTGATCTCTGCCTCCTAAGTAGCTAGGATTTCAGGAGTAAACCACTGGCACCCGGCTACCTGCGTGTTTTTGCATGAAAGTCAGTTGGAATGATTTGTGGCTAACCTTAATGAATTGTGTAGTTCCAGCTTTGTGTTGGGCGCTCACTGCCTCAGGCTCTTGGACCTTTTAAAAGATAACGTGAAGATTTTCATAACTTAAATTTCAGTTCCAGAAGCGGAGATAACAAAATGCTACACTCCCCTTGCTTAAGCATGCATCTATTAGTCATTCGTTGGCATGAATGAGGTATTAAAAAAAAATCAGTCCTTTTGACTGCAGTCGGGAGCTTTTACAGAATCCGTAAAGGTACGGAATCTGTAATGGCTGGGGAAAGGAACCAGAACAATTCACGGTAGGTCCTGCTCTGTAACTTTCTCCCGTAGATTACCGCTGTGATATCCTTGAGACATGTTTGACATTCTTGTTTAGAGACTGTAACTCTGATGTTCAACCCGTTGGTTGCTGGACAGCTCCTTTTGAGCCGTACTCTCCTTCCCTCTAATTTGTGTATGGCTCTTGTTCCACCTTCTTGCACATCATAGGTTATAAATACTACAAAAGCATAGCCCCAATCCCTAGGCATAGAGGGCGGGTTGAACGCACTCTTCTGCCCACAGAATTTGTTTGATTATGTTTGTAAGACCATTCACGTAGAAGAAACTTCTAAAACGTCTTTCCATATTTGGTCTTCTCCTTCCTTTCTGTCTTACTGCAAAATCCGAAAGGCTTTCCTGTCTTTAATTTTGGCTGCTTTGAAGAAAAGGGAATTAATGATGATCCTGAGCAGTGAAGATTCTTCTAAAACAATTTTTTAAAGTAAAAGTCAAATTCCTGTTACAGTGAATTATGTTGAACAAGTACTGTTGAATGTGAGTGGGAGATACTCTTCTGAATGTTATTGTAGAGAGCATGAAGTGGAAATTAGAAATGGCTCCTTCCCCTGAGAATGGTAGTGCTGGTCTTCAGTGTTCACATCTTAGGGTCTTTGCTCTTTCTGTTCTCTTTATTTCTGAAGTGCTCTTCTCTCAGCTTCCTTCTCATATTCAAATTTCTGCTCAGATGTAACCTCCTTAGACTTTGCCTGATGAGCACAGTTAAAATAAATCTTTTTCCCTATTGTCCCCTATTCCATCATGTTTTATTTTCTCCATTACGATTATCATATGTGAGATGAAATTTTATTTGTCTACTTGTTTGCTTTTTGCCTATAACTTCTATAGTGTGAACGCCACAAGGGCAGGGCCTTTGTCTTACTTTTTTGCTGCTAGCACCTAGCAAATAATGGGCAGTCAATAAGTACTTTGAAATGAGTAAATTTAAGATGATGAATCTACTTGTGTTATAAATTCTCTTTTTTGTATTATGAGTTACTGAAGGTTTATAGTCTAGGCAAAAAGCTTCCTCGATTGACATTCCAGTAACTGATATTTGCTGACTAAAATCCCTGCCCTGGTACATTGACATTTTTAAAGCAGTGGATCTTAACCATTTTTGGATTACATAGAATCTAATGAGAAAGCTATGTATTTTCTCTCTAGAAAAATGTGAATACCATTTGTGAATACTCAAAATTTGAGTATCAATTCAGAGAATTCACAAAACCCAGAAATCCGTCCTTTGAAGAAAGAGACAGCCCCAATTAGTTGGAAATTCTTAAAATTTATGTCATTGTACTTCCATTTTTGCCCACGGGGGTGTGTAAAACAAGCCCAGTTCCCTTCCCACATGAAAGCATTTAAGATCGTGTTAAATATTTATGATATATCCTATCACATAGTATACGCACAGTGTACAAACACTGCATCCCAAGGGATCCATGAATCTGAGAGGACTCCATAGTTTAATAGAGGAAAACAGATATGTTAACAGTTAAGTGCAAAAGAGTGTCAGTTGCAGGTACTCAGGTCTGCATGGGAACAGTGGAGACACATATATGCAGTGATCAATTTTACTGGGGCTAACAAAGGTCTCAGAGAGGAGGAAAGTTTGTGTATATGTAGCAGTTTTTTTTTCTTTTCTTTTTTTTTTTTTTTTGTGATACTGGTGTTTGAATTCAGGGGACTCTACCGTTTGAGCCATGCCTCCAGCCCTTTTTGCTCTGGTTATTTTGGAGATAAGGTCTTAATTTTTGCCTAGGCTGGCCTGGACTGTGGTCTTCTTTTTCTTTAAAATTTTATTTTTATTAGCATATTATTGAGACATGTACAAAAATGCTTACAATATATCTTAGATTCATCCCCTCTATCATTCTTTTTTATCTGTCCCACCTTCTTAGAATAGTTTCAACAGGTCTTGTGATTCTCCTATTTTATGCTTCCCACTGTAGCTGGAATGACACGTGTGCACCAACACAACCAGGTATTGGTTGAGTTGGAGGTCTCACTAACTTTTTTACCTGGGGTAAAAAAGAGATCCAAGCATCTCAGCCTTCCAAGTAGCTAGTATTACAGGCATGAACCATTGGCGCCGGGCTGTGTGTGACAATTTTCTTGACATCTAATTCACACATAATGCAATCTGCCTGTTTAAGGCCTGTGGTTCAGTGGTTTTCTTTTATGTTCACAGTTTTGCAGTCAGTTTTGGAATATTTCATCATCCCCAACCATATTCTATACCTTTTAGTCATCACTCCCCTGCCAGGCCTAGGCAACCACTATCTACTTTCTGTCTTTGTAGATTTGCCTATGATCTTTTGTGACCAGCTCCTTTAACCTAGCATAATCTTTTCAAGGTTCATCCACCTCATAGCATGTATCAGTAACACTTCATTCCTTTGTATGGCTGAGTAATATTCCATTGTGTGGATATAGCACATTTTATTTATTCATCGGTTGATGGACATTTATGTTGTTTATTTTTCAGCCATTATGAGTAATGCTGCTTTTACTGTTTGTATGACTGAAATTAAGAGTGGAATTTCTGGGTCATATAGCTATATTTTACCTTTTGAGGAACTGCCAGACTGTGTTCCAAAGGAGCCTTACCATTTTAAATTCCCACCAGCAATATATGAAAGTTCCAATTTCTCTGAATCTTGTCAATTGAAGGGACCCAGGTTGAACTGACTGTAGCCATCTTGAGTCATAACCACCATGATTGCTCCTGAGTAACCTTGGTCAGTTTTCCCCACATAGTTTTCTGAAGATAACCAAAATCTTTACTGTGGCATGAAGAACCTTATGACCAGAGCTCTGGTGCCCATCAGGTCTTTGCTTGAAATCTTTGATATTAGCTCAAGATAAACCAGGTACATTTAGCTTGGATGAAATCACTTTTATCCCGACCACTATATAACCCCCTCTTCTGACCCAAATCATAGGGATGCACTAGTCTTGCTGCTGCCTTTGGCCACACTTCTGACAGTTAGTCCCAAATAAATGGCACTCTGTGTAGTCCGGGGTCTTTGCCTCTTTGATCTTGTGGCACCCTGCAGCTGGTTTTCATAAACTAAGGCCAGGTTTTTCCAGAACATTTGTTATCTGTGTTTTTGATTATAGCTTTCCTAATAAGTATGAAGTGGTGTCTCATTGTGGTTTTATTTATATGTCTCTAATGACAGATGACTTAAGCATCTTTTTCTGTGTTTATTTGGTTTATGCAAATCCTTGGAGAAACATCTATTCAAGTCCTTTATCTGTTTTTAAATTTGGCTTACCTGTTATTTTGTCGTATGAGTTTATACTTTCTGGGTACTAGTCCATTGTTAGATTTTATTTGTAAATATTTTCTCCCACTTAGTGGGTTGTTTTTACTTTCTTTTTTCTTTTTTGTGGTACTTGCATTTGAACTCAGGACCTCACACTTGCAAGGCAGGTGCTGTACTGCTTGACCCACTCCACCAGCCCTAAATTATTTTTCTTTTTGGTGGTACTGGGGTTTGAACTCAGGGCCTCATGCTTGCTAGACTGGCACTCTACCACTTGGGCTACTCTGCCAGCATCTTTACTTTCTTGATGGTGTCCTTTGAAGAAGAAAGTTTTAAATTTTGATGAACTTTAAGTACTTTTTTGTTACCTTTTCTCTTAGTGTCATATCTAAGACAAATAAATCATTGTCAGACCTGAGTTCATAAAGGATTTATGCCTGTTTTTGAGTTTTATAGTTTTTGCTCTTATGTTTAAGTCTTTGGAACTTTAAAATTAATTTTTTACATACGTGAGGTAGGAGTCCAACTTCATGTGAGTGTATGGTGTTGCAGTGTCATTCTGTTGAAAAATTCTTCATTTCCTATTGAATTGTTTTGGTACCCTTGTTGAAATCAGTTGACTGTGAATGTGAGAGTTTGTATTTGGACTCTCAATTCTGTTCCATTAATCTATAGACCTGTCCTTACATCTGTACTATACTATCTTGATTACTGTTGCTTTGTAATGAGTTTTGAAATCATGATTTCTGAGTCATCCATCTTTGTTCTTTGTGCAGTCCTGTGACCCAGCATTTCAGTGCTAATTTTAAGATCACTTTGTTGATTTATGAAAAGCAAAAAAAAAAAAAGCCAACTGGGATTTTGATAGATTGTGTTGAATCAATCTGGGAAGTATTGTCATCTTAC